TAAATGATTTATTGTGTACGATTTATCATTTTATACAAAAATATATTTATCTTCAAGATAAGATATTAACAAATGAATAATAATTTTGTTGTAAATTATCAAACGATATAATAAAGTATGTTGTATTTTTAATTTAATATAAAATCAATATAAATAAACAATAAATAATATATAGAAATAATCATTATACTAATACAATCAAATAAGTGTATAATCTATATGATATTATCAATTATTGAATTCAAGCTTGATTTGAGTTTTATATAAAAGATTTAATATTTTATAGAATAAAATATGAACAACATAAAGTAATGATATTTTAATAAGAATATATTAGAAATAAGCATTAAAAATAAAAGAATGAATTTAAAAGAAATATTTTAATCAATGAGATAATTGGTTAATAATATTTTTAATTGAACTATGATGAATTTAAGTTAATATTGATCTCTCTAGCAATCATTATTCTTTTATTTATTAAGAAAAGAAATAAATGATATTCTTATTTGTTGTTCTCAGTAATAATTGAAATATGTTATAACTAAAACAAAATATGACAAGAATAACAGGTATAATATAAAATTAAAACTAAGAAATTACATAATGGATATAACCAAATAATTATTGTTTGTGTATTTATTACAACAGTTTTATATCATCTTTTTATTATTTAATTTGAATAAATGAAAATTTAATAAATAAAACAGTTCTAGTATGTTTATTGCTCATTATTTATTTATTTTATGAAGAGCAGTTTAAAAGAATATATTTTTCATATTAATACATTAACAACTTTATATGCTTATTGTTTATATTATCTTAATCATTCTATTTAGCACACACCACTTTATTCATATATTTTCTTTTGACTTTATCCATATCATTATTCCTTCAATCACATTATCTTTTTCCTTTTCTTTTGAATTATACATTTTTCTGATTTAAAAGTGTTATACAACACATTATACAAGAAAATGATAACAAGTTGATAACTCAGAAATACAGGGTCTTTAATAAATATACATAATTTATGATATATATACAAAAACATTACATCAACAAACGTCATTCAAAAAGATAAAAAAAAAATTCAAAAAAAACAAGAAAAGAGAAATAAAAAATGTTAGTATACGAAAAAGAAGAAATGAAGTTATGAAAAGAAGAAAAATTATAAAGTTACATTTTTCTTTATAAAAAATAAACATCATCCACATTAATCTGACGTAACCTGGATACGTGTGTCACTGATTTAAATCTTCAACCTAAAATATATATTCTAAACTAAAAAGAAGAATGAACAACTTTCCAAATAACCAAACATTTAATGATATGGATGAAATCTTTCCAATCATTCAGAACATTATTAAAGAAGAATTGACTAAGAGAACAAATGAAATGATAAACAAGGTTATTGAGATTGAAGAAATGAAAATGAAATCTGAACTGGCGAGATTTGAACAAGAAAAGAGTAGAATAAAAGAACATTTTAATAACATCAAAAAACAATTGAATGAGATACAGAGTACTATCAACCAGAGTAAAATAGAAAACATAAAGATAGAAGAATCAGAAAAAATAAGACAAGTGATAGAAAAAAAGAGAGTTGAAGAGATAGAGAAAAAGAAAGTTGAAGAGATAGAGAAAAGCCAAGAGGAAGAAAAAAGGATATTAGAAGAAGAAATACAAAAACAGGAAGAAGAAAGAAAACAAATAGAAGAAGAAATACAAAGACAAGAAGAGGAGAGAAAAAAACAAGAAGAAGAAAAGGGTATGTTAGAAGAGGAAATACAAAAACAAGAGGAAGAGATAAAGAGATTAGAAGAAGAGATAAAGAAGCAAGTAGAAGAAAGTCAGAGAAAAGAAGAAGAAATAAAGAAACTAGCAGAAGAAAGAAAGTTATTAGAAGAAGAGGTAAAGAAACAAGAAGAAATAAAAAAAGAAGAAGAAAGACAAAGACTAGAAGAAGTAAAGAGACAAGAAGAAATACTGAGACAGGAAGAAGAAAGAAAGAGGATAGAAAAAATACAAAAACAAGAAGAAGAAAAGCAGAGAAAGAAACAAGAAGAAGAGAGAAAAAGGCTAGAAGAAAGAAAGAAACAAGAAAAAATACAAAAACAAGAAGAAGAAAAGCAGAGAAAGAGATTAGAAGAAGAAAAGCAGAAAAAGAAACAAGAAGAAGAAAAGCAGAGAAAGAGATTAGAAGAAGAGAGAAAGAGAAAAGAAAACAAAAGAAATTTGAAAAAGAAGTTAGAAGAAGATAGAAAAAAATTAAAAGAAGATGAGGACAATCATAAAGAAGAAAAAATAATAGTAAAAGACGAGATAAATATATTGGAAGATCAAGTTCATCTACTGGAAGAAAAGACAGGAGAATTAGAAGAAGAAAAAGAAAGAATAGAAGAAGAAATCCATAAATTGGAAAATGAGAAAAAGAAAGTTGAGGAAGAGATTAATGGGAAAGGAAGAGTGTCTGCATCAAGAATGTACTTTGTAAAGAAACAAGAATTAGAAAATAAACAAAACGAGATAGAAAATAAACAAAAAGAAGCAACAACAAACAAAAACAAAATTAAAAGGAATCAAGACGAGATAAAAAAGAAACAAAAAGAAATTATAATGAAAGAAGAAGAACTTAAACAAATCGATGAAAGAAAGAAAAAGCAAGAAGAAGAAAAGAAGATACAAGAAGAAGAAAGAAAGAAAAGGCAAGAAGAAAGAAAGAGAATAGAAGAAGAAGAAAGAAGGAGAGCAGAAGAAGAAAAAAGAAAGAGAATAGAAGAAGAAAAGAAGATACAAGAAGAAGAAAGAAAGAAAAGGCAAGAAGAAAGAAGGAGGTTTGAAGAAGAAAGGAGGAGAATAGAAGAAGAAGAAGAAAGAAGGAGAATAGAAGAAGAAAAAAGAAAGAGACTTGAAGAAGAAAGAAAGAGAATTGAAGAAGAAAAAAAGAGAATAGAAGAAGAAGAAAGAAGGAGAGCAGAAGAAGAAGAAAGAAGGAGAGCAGAAGAAGAAAAGAGAAGGCAACAAAATGAGAAAATTCAGAGGAACCAATATAGAGGTCCCGAAAAAAAGAGTGAAAACACAAAACAAGAATCCGAAAGTTTGTCAGAAATAACTGAAGAAGAAAGGCTAAATAAAGTGGATAAAGTACTTACATTGGAGGAAATGAAACAACTAGAAGAATGGACAAAAAGAAAAGTATTCAATATACTATTTAATTCAGATAATGATAATTGGGATAGGAGTACATCAGTATTTGGAGAAAGAATAATAAATAAAGAACATCTGGCAATTGTTATTGAAGATGAAGATGGAAATAAATTTGGAGGATATGTTAATGTGAAAATTGACAGAGTTGGTAAAGATATTAAGGATTCAAAATCATTTGTATTTTCGTTGGATTCAAATAAAAGATTTGATGTAGACATAATGATGAAATTTGATATTAAACAACAACAATCTGCATTCTGTTTATATAACCAATCAGATAGTTGTTTATTTAGAATTGGGTTAGATGATATCCGTATTAGTAAGTGTGAATCCAAAGCATATTCATATTGTCAACAACAATCATATAATTATAGAGCATTACCAAATTCACTATGTGGAAAAGAATATCCAGATCGTTTCACACCACAACGAATCGTTGTAATTGAAATGAAATGATTTTTATTCATTATTGTTTATTTGAAATATAAAAATAAAAAAGAATATAAAATAAAATCAATAAATGAATATGAACAGCCATTTCTTTCATCTGCCAATGAATGAAATGGTGAATATAAAAATGGACATATTTCATTCTTGTTTTATTTTATTTGAAATATTCATATTCATTGTGTTAATTTATTAAATAATAAAAAGAAATAAGAATAAAAGATAAATAAAAATATAATAAAACGTTTAATTACTCCTTTTTATTAACTTAGAAAAGAAAGTAAAACTGGTAGAAGAAAAAGAAATCAGTTTAAACAAAATGAAGATTAAATACGTTTTATAAAATTACTATGAATTATTGGAGTTGGTTATTAAAAATGAAGTAGACCAACAAAATATAATATAAAGAAAAAGTAGATGAAACCATAGTAATATAGTGTAAATTTTCTTTTATATAAACATTGTAAGTTATTTTGTTATTATCTTCTTCATATTTTTGTTTTAATAAGATTTTAGTATACATCAAAGGATTTAAAACAATATTCTTGATAAATAAATTATATTGATCATAACAATTATTATTCATGAATCAATAATAGTTGTTTGATTTCACATAGTTTATTTTATTAATTAATAGAATCTTTATGGATAGTTGATAATTATTTCCAATTTCATTAAGTTTATAACAATCATTTTTGTTAGTATTGATTAATACTACATTTATTGGTATATTTCTTCTACATGTTACAACAAATAACACTATTACTATGAATAAATAAAACAAGAAAATAACAGTTGAAGAATAAACCATTAAATAATCAATGTTATCAAATGGATTAGATAAAAGAAAAAAGAATAATAAAGAGGAATTGAAACAAATAATAAAACCAAATCATTTGTTAGTGGAGTAGAGAAATATGGTCATGAAAAATTATCAATAATAAATATTATTTTTTGGAGATACCTTATTTCATTCATGTGATTTAACAAAATAACATAAAAGACAAGTAACTATAAAACTTTGTAATCAAAAACAATATCTTTATTAGTATTTCATTTAATCATTCATTAGTCATAACATTGTTTTGTTCATTTCTTTTTATTCTAAACAACAAACTTATCAAAAAACTAATCAATTTATGTGTGTTATTAGTTTCGTATTAACGATTGAGTCCACCACCAAAACCTCCCATTGGCATGTTATTAGGAATAAATCCTCTCATCATTCCAAATCCTCCCATCATTTCATTTTGTTGTTCTGTTATTACTTCAACATTATCACAGTCAATCTGGTTGATTGAATTTGATGTATCAACTATCTTTATATCATGACATCTTACCATTTTAACTTCTTTTCCTTTCATGTCATTATCAATATCAATTAGATCACACTCTTCCATTTCAAACTTCTTCAAAGATTCACTTAATCTAATTCTAATGTCATTCACTCTTTTCAACACAAGTTCTTCTTTACACTGATGAGTGATACTATAAGTTTCAGTACTGTTAATTATACAGACTTTGTTACATGGTACAATTGAACCCCCTCCATATAATTTAGTATTTTCAATATGCACTTTGTCCATAATATTGTTATCATCAATTGATGATACACCAATACCTACTTGACTATCAATAACTTCTAATGATTTTTTAATTTTACCAATTTTAAAATAGTTATTCTCAAATTTGTTAATCATTACTGATTCAGCACATCCAATTCTTGATGTAGTTTCTTCACCAATAAATGGAGTATCATTACCCATACAATTATGAGTTGACATTCCATATCTTCATATCTCTTCAAATCTGAATTTTTACATTTTCTATTGTAACATCACTATTAATATTACTTCTAATTTTAATATTACAGTCATGAATATTTCTTATTATAATATGTGTTTTATCTGTTTCTATTTCTATATCTTTATTTGTATTATCCATTTCTATTATTTCTGTATCTTCTTTTATAACTTTCTTTGTTTCTGGAATATTACATTCTTCATTATCTATTGTGATGATTTCTTCAATATTATCTAACTTCCCTGTGATTTCTGTATTTTTACATTTTATTATTTTCATTTCTTTGATTTGATTCTTGTTGATTATGAATTGACAATTCTCACATTCATCAATATATAATTTCTTACATTTATCAAATAATTCTTCAAAGATATAATCTTTCATTGATACAATGCATATCTCTTCTGCTTCTTTCAGAGGTACTTTAATGTATTCTTCAATTGATTTAAATATAATTCTTTTTGGTTTAACATCAATTTCATTGATTGTAGATTCAATAACTTTCATTGTATTACATCTTTCATTTCCTGTAATATTCACTTGTTTAGATTGTGATACTATCAGTTTATTGATTGGACATTTTGATTTTACATTAATCTGTTTTCCTTCTAATATTTCAATATTTTGTTCATTATTAGATTCTATTTCAAATTTGAAATTCTCACATTCTCTAATGCAAATATTATTTGATTTATTTGTTGATAATTTGATTTGTGTTTGTTTATTTCTTTCTAATTTCAATCTTTCAATACAATCTGATTTAATATTAATTTTACATTCTCTACAATTAATTACTTCAATACTCTTTAATTTATTTGATATTAAGCTAATGTTTAAATTAGAGCAATAGTCCAATCGAAGTAATTCAAGATTTGGAATGTGTAGATATCTCT